AAATACAGAATGTTTGGCCAAGCGGTGAGTATTAAAATATACGATTGTTTGCTTTGTGTATTAAATGTTAAAAAATATTACTTTTGACCATCCACAAACATGCAAGCACTAGTCAATGAGGTCAATCAATCATGCATTAAATAATGATTTAATTTTCAAAAAGACGTTTCTTGTTTAGCTTAAAAATCACCTTTTGTTTCGATGTTTACACTTTGTCCCACTTTGTCCCACTTTGCGATGCAAATCGTGCAGAGGCTTCGCGCCTTCCTTCGCCTTTCCCTTTGGCGCCTGCGCTCCTTCGCCCAGCGGCTACGCTCGTGTTTCAAGATCCGCCATGTAAAGTGTAGTGAAATGTATCTCATCGTAATACTCATCCCTGTACTCATCCTAAGAAAACTAAAGCCTCTGCGGAGGAGAGAGAGAGATATTTGTCAATCAATGAATTATCAACTGCCGTCCAATGGTCGAATGATTTTCAGGCACACGTACAGCCCAATGAGGCACAAATACAGCCCAATGAGGCACAAATTTAGCCTAATGAGGCACAAATTCAGCCTAATGAGGCACAAATACAACCCAATAAGGCACAAATTCAGCCCATTGTCATTGAGGCACAAATACGTATAGCCCAATGAGGCACAAGTTCAGCCCAAATATGGCTCAAATTCAGCCCATTGTCATTGAGGCACAAATACGTACAGCCCAATGAGGCACAAATTCAGCCCAATTATGGCCCAAATTCAGCCCAATGAGGCACAAATTCTGCCCAATGAGGCACAAATTCTGCCCAATGAGGCACATATACAGCCCAATTGATATAAAGGCACCAATTCAGCCCAATGTGGCACAAATACGGCCCAATGAGGCACAAGTTCAGCCCAATAAGGCACAAATTCAGCCTAATGAGGCACAAATACAACCCAATAAGGCACAAATTCAGCCCATTGTCATTGAGGCATAAATACGTACAGCCCAATGAGGCACAAATTCAGCCCAAATATGGCTCAAATTCAGCCCAATGAGGCAGAAATACAGCCCAATGAAGGCAGGGGCGGATCTAGGATTTTTCGTACCTCAGTCAAAAATTTTTGGCGGACGGGGCGTTGTCAGCGCGGGGCGTTGTCAGCGCTGGGTGTGGTCTCGACTGGGCGTGAAAAACGTATTTAGATTAAATTTAAATTGATAAACTCAAACGAACATTTGATTCTTATCCATTGTAAGAAAAACTACAAATGCACAAAGATATATTGATCCTATTCCAATACAAAATTTTATGGATATATTACTATGATACAGTACATTAAAACTCAGCAGCAATTTAATAACATGTTTGCCTGTGGATTAATCAATCGTCGTCATATTGATACTATATACCTATAAGTGTATCATTGTAAAACTTGTAAAATCATATGGCAGCAAATGCATTAAGGAAATATACTGTTCTGTTACCAAAAACGCAGAACTATACAAATATTTGCTAGTAGCCTCAGATCCAAAAAAAATTTGGATATTCATTAACTAAGTCAAACACTATTACATTAACAAGATATAAAGATGTTATGTCAAATATTAATAAACTAGTTACATGAGAATGGCTACCAGTCAATGAGCTTTTCAAGCTAGCTCTTATTAAATATTTCACATCATCATGTTACACCAGACCAATGCGGTCTAACAACAAGCCGTGTCGATAGGCTATGGACAAACAGTATTCTATAAGGCCGACATGTTGTGTGATCGATGCATAAATATAAATAAATCTTAAATAAAACTATAAACACGAGAATCAACAAATGCTTACAATGTGGACATTGAATAAAACATATTTTAGCTTCTTGACGCGAGAATTATGCTAATACAGCATAGCGAATATTAAAATATCATATGTCAAACAATCATTAACAACACCGACGGCTTTGGATACATCATTATAAAACCATAAATTTCTCTACCTTATTGCAGTGCAAGCTTTGTCTTTCTTATCTCGAACATTCTTCGGAATGTAGCTCTCTGCGCCAAAATTTCTAGCGAGGCTTCTGCTTGTGTTGTTGATGGCGCTCACTTTGCCGTTCAGTAGCTCGTCCACAGTCGGACACAGAATTTGTCCGTGAAGCATCGATATTCTTCTCAAGCTCCGTATACAAACGTTGTAGAGATTCTAAATCGTTTGCCGCAATCGCAAACTGAATATTGTCGAAAATGTTTCCAGATATCGCTGGCAGAGATCGCTCGTAAAAATATAATAGTAAAATTTCTCACATGCCAGACGTTCGAAATAGTAAACATTCAGGAGTTAAAAAACACCAAATGCCGTGTTGACGAATACCCCACGCTGCGAATCCGTCGAAAATATAAGCCAATGACAGTGCAGAATATTTTTAAATGGTTCAATCAGAAGACTCATACAGAGCCCCTGAATCTGCAAATCCGTCAGGCCTCCCCACAGATCCGTCGCAAATGGCTGTAACCATGGAAATGAGCGCGTCAGCCAATCAGATAGCCGGATTCAACCCCCGAATCCGTCAACATTCATGTGTAAGACCGCTGTTCGTGACTGACTAACATTACTTTGCCGAAGCTCTGCCGCAGCATGAAACGTATAACTGGACTACGATTCAAAATTTTAATAACTCGATCTACTGGCCGCTATAGATAGCTGGAGTCGAATTTTTTTAATTAAGTAGGCAATTTTTACTTCAGTCGCGCGACTGACTTGACGACCCCTAGATCCGCCCCTGAATGAAGGCAGAAATGTATAGCCCAATGAGGCAAACTATGAAGTACAGCCCAATGAGGCAAACTGTGAAGTATTATCTAATTTACATAAACGAGCATTGTTTCCCTCGCGATTGTTCACTAAAGAGTTCGTGGCCCTGATGAATACTTCCACGAGCGACTAAAGTCGTAAAGTACCGTGGCTCTGAAGGGCCATGCCATGACATGGTATATTTTTTTAAATTTGTTCCCCCAAAAAATTGACTGTTCATTTTATACTTATAAATAAGATCTCGTATTGTTCAAATTTAATTTCAACTGAAACTTTTCCTTTAATTGACTTACAACTCAGAATTCTGACTTATAACACGGAATTCTGACTAATAACTCAAAATTCTGACTTATAACACGGCATTCTGACTTATAACTCAGAATTATCTTCAAAGAGATGTTACAGAAGAAAAAATCACTCAAATATTCGTGAAGTTGTTGATGTAGTAAAAAGAGAACTATATAGATGGAAGTGGTGGGTTGGATACAGGCATATGCATCAGAGATTGCTCACAAAGCATAAGCTTGTTGCATCAAGAGAGACTGTGCGAAAAACGATAGCTGCCCTATAGACCCTGAAGGAGTGAGCCAACGTTCGATGAGAAGATTTAGACGCCGTGTGTACTCTGTAAGAGGTCCAAATGATATGTGGCATATCGACGGATACGACAAGTTCATACTAAAATTCATTGAAAAACAATAAAACGTCCGTGGCAATGCGTTTTACAACAAATGATATTTTCACACGTAAAAATATCGTATTTTTTACGTGTGTTTAAATACGATTTTTCTCAGTGGCCAAAAACTCTATATAACATCTATGTTTATATAATAAATATATTTATTATATGGTTTTTCAAAATTCTCTATTCTGATTGGTTAACAAGCGGTCCGTAAAAACCCATATCCGGACCGTGGTCCGTATTTTCCAATCTGGACCGGTGTCCCGGATGTCGTTTATCTGACGGGAAATTTTTGCTAAACAGAAAAATTTTTGCGTTTTAACTTTCTTCCAATTGTGTGTCGTCAAAATTTACAGATAAAAATTTCAAACAACCAAATTGTTTTTGATTGAGCATGCATGTATACCGTATATTGTTAAACTGACGATAGCCGATTTAATTCGCGCGAAAAGCATATGCTCACAGACTCAGTTCAGCCATATAATAAACCGATTATTGACCTCCCTTGTTCGGTCTGTACTGTGAAGTATCAGACCTCTGTTTTCCATGAAGGTTGGGGGGGGGGGGCGGCCGCCCCCTGCCCCACCGAGATTTCCGCCACTGAATCCTCTCCCAAACTGAGCTGACCACTGAGGAAATTTCGAGTGTAAATTTTTATACATTTATTTTTTCTCCTTTTTTTATCTCATTTTTTTTTTCTTTTCTAAAAATGTTTGTTTGTACCAAAATTTGTTTTTCAATATCACAGGACAACATTTCGGCAAGGAAAAAATGTTTCACGGGTGTTTACATTTTAACCATTAGGTACGAGTCCCCCAGCGCCAAATGGCGTTTTATTTTGTTTCATCTTTTTCTTCGTTCACAATGGGTTTATTCAACTACTTTCGTCTGTCTTGCGTTTAGGTAAGAGCCTGGGAACGAGGTTGAATCAGGAACAGCTGCGAAAAATGCAACTATACAACTTGTGGTTTATAGAGCTCGACAACTGGCCTCTGTAGCTCAGTTGATCGGAACGCTGCGCTGGAATTGCAGGGCCGCAGGTTGAATTCCTGCCAGATAGCCTGCATGGCAGGCAGGCGGTCCCTAAAATTGGGCAAGCCTGGGAAAGACCGCCTGCCATGCAGGCTACTGCCGAAGGACGTATAGTTTCATTAGGTCAATTTGCGGGCTTATGTGTACATGAATGATAGGAATATATTTCAGTATAGATTGCGCTAATCTATAGCTAGTTCCCTTCCAACTTTGCGAATTAGAAATGAGTGAGAATATGAGTAACATACACATCTTATGCTTATGGGCACACCCTCCTCCCCAGTCCACTCCAGTATGTTCAGATATCAAGCCACAGAAATAAAATTCCTGTTTGAGTGAATGAAATCAAATCAAACACTTCGTCAGATTTCCATCATAAAATTCATTCACAAAAATACAAGTTGTGGTATGAACATTTCTCAAATTGATTATCATGTGCCAAATATACTGCTTTGATAAAAAATTCATAGTATGCAATATCATCTATGCTAAATCAAGTTTTTTTTAGATAAAAAAATGATATATAATTGTGCCAAACAATCGACCGATTTATTGATCAACGATTATAACTTTGAATTACAAATAAAGTGTTTTTAAAAAAATCTACGAACATCTGAAATATATACAATGATTATAATTATGTTCAAATCTAAATATCTAATACTATGCAATAAATCCTCTAATATCCACCCGACAATTCATTTCAAGTACGTTTGGGGGAAGGGCGTGAACTTTGCGCTCAATCAATGAACTCTAATCAGTACACATGCGTCACTTTCTTGTGTCGGGGGGGGATTATAGAGAGGGGAAGTCATAAATTTCTTCCTGGGGTGTGGCTTATTTGAGGGGAGGGGGGAGGGCTGGGGTGGTGGTGGTTAATAAAGGATTTACAGTGGTTGTGTAGTAATACAACTGATGAAACTGATTACTGATACACAACAATATACAACAATCTCCAAATTGGGTAAAAATCTGATGACAAATCTTAGTGTACAATAATATTTAAATATCTATAGAATTATGCCAAATTACTGATGTGCTTTTAAACCAAAGTTAATTACTCAGTATAAAATATGTACACAAAGTTTTCAGGTGATAACCAGTGTCGTAAATCCCCAAACGTCTCTCTTTATCTCTTAACACCACCAATTACTCTGCACTGTCCCCTTCCACCACCGGTTACCCCTCAATGCCACCATCTATCCCCACTGGCGACGACGCGCCTTGCTTTTGTAGCCAAGGCAGCATTTCTGCACGACGCTTTTCTTCGACCGTTTCACGCACACTTTAATGCGATGGTAAATACGGTAAATGATCTTGGATCGAAATCTGCCTCGTTCGCTGTCGCTTACAGTACCCTGATACTTTTGTCGTGTCGGAGTCACCAAGTTGAAAAACGCTCTTCCGAAATTTCGAGGGATTAGACAACTCAGGCCATGTTTGCCAGCAAGCTCACCCGCGTTGCAACAACGTTTCCTTAAATGGCGATGATGTTTTCGCGTTTTTTCCCCTTTTACATCGATTACCGAAAGTGGTCTTGTTGACGGTGTCGGTTTCCGATGGACATATTTAACCTCTACGATTCCCGAGTCGCTGCCGGTTTTCGACGACGATTTTCCGTCGTCGGTGTTGAATGTTATAGTTTCTTCGATCACCTTCGTCTCCGAGGCGTTGACATTGATGACAAACACTTCTGAAATGATACAATGACAGACTTTTACTCCGCCGAACTGATTTATACTAAAACGGACCGAGTTTATATAGGTCCGTTCCACACGCTGGTGTTGTTTTAGTCAACTAGAACTAAAACCGCATTTTAGTCATGCCAAAATAATTTAGTCCACTAAAATTAAACTAGAACCAAACTAATTTTAGAGATAAATACTAATTTAGAGATAAAACTATAAACCACATCGACAAAATAGTTGGAAAACTTGATTACTTAGGGAAGCCTCACATATCGATTTTGTCCATGAGAAACGTCATATGTTCGTTTCTCTGGAGACCCCCCCCCCACCCCCCTTAGAAACGTCACACATAGTTATCGATATTTTGTTCTTATAGTACACTGTCTGTACACATTAGGTAATTTTTTACTATTTTTTCGGTCGGCTATTGGCGATGCTTCCGCGAGGAATATGTCATCTTCTGCTGACATACTCTTTTTTTATTAATATATATGTGAACTTCAAAATTTCCGACGTTTCTCAAAACAACTTTTTTTGCATGAAATATTGATAATTTTAGCGCGTATTTCTTGAAATTTGAGTGTTTTCAAATGCAAAAAAGGCGTAATAATATAAATGTATAGGTATAGAACAGGTTATATATAATTCGTTATTCGTCTGACACTCAGGCTAAGAACAGGTATGGTATTACGAATATATAGACTGCTGTTTGTATCAAATTGTTTTCCTTTATATACTCTGCAAAGATAAAAACTATCGATTTTTTCCATGATGTTTACAGAGAAACGTCACAGCTGTCAACCCCCCACCCCCAAACGAACATATGACGTTTCTCGTGGAAAATATCGATATGTGAGGCTTCCCTTAGATGCTTTCGTATTTTTAAGACTTAATTGAAATTATTGTTTTAACTAGAACTAAACTAAAACTGAATTGAAATTCTTGTTTCAAACCAGAACTAACTAAAATTAAAAATAAATTAGTGGTTTAGACTAAAACTAAACTAGAACTAAGTTCGGCAATTTAATTTGGTACCGCAGAGAGGAATTAAACTCAACATATCTTGCCGTATTGTGCAACTGTTGCTGGACATCATGTCCATGTTATAAGACGTTCAGTATCATGTCTATGATCACATCATGTCCAGCCGCAGACCAACCGGCGAACGGGCATTCTCTGGGTACGAGACTGGCAATGTACCAATATTAGTATTTTTGCTAAAACTGTCTGTACCAGTGTTGGTAGTACCAATGTGAAAATGGTTATATATTACTTAATTTACTTCTGCTTATTTTTTAAGGTAGTAATATAACCATTCAGTACTGCATTTTTAGTATTTTTGCACAAGTGAACATAACAAATCCCACACGTTGATTGGTCAAATTTGACGTATTAAGCTGTTATATTCACCTACAGGTGAATAAACAAAACCGAAATTTTCAAAATGGCGGCTGGCCGTTTTGTGGACGTTATACTGATAAAGAAATAAGCCAAATTAAAATAAATTCAGTCCAAAAAAACACAAAAATACTAAAACAATTATTCACCTCAGCCCGCTCAGGCTCGGTGATTATCTGGGAATATTCACCTCGACTTCGTCTCGGCGAATATTCCCCGATAATCACCTCGCCTTCGGCGAATAATTGTTAAATATTGGAAAAAATGACAAACATATTTTGAAAAAAACCCCGGACTTTTCCGCCTTTTCCGTATCTAATTTACAAATCATGTGATGAAGGAAGAGTGTCGATAGTGTGAAACAATATCAAGAGTGGGTCAAGTCTATAGTCAAGTACTTTCACGCCTAGTTCAAAAGTCGACCTTCCCATAAACCGATGTAAGATCAACCTCTGAATGAGTCAATGAAGTTCGATATCGCTTGTCGGGAACTACGACTTTGGATCGAGTTGGATTCAAACGTAGCGTGAATATTTCAGACGGTCTCAAACTCTTATTAAAATAATTCAAATATTAAACTTCACATGAACCAACCATATTTATATGCCATTTAGAGACTACTACTGATCGTAATCATCGTTTATCGTTTTCGAAAATTATTAGGACCGGACGACCGGCTAATTAAGTTTGACGCCTGAATCAAGTTATATTTAGGTTTAGGTCAAGTATAAGTCGACTCAAATGGCAAAAAAGTCGGTTCATGTGAAGTCTCGTGAAGTTGGACGTTTGAAAACGTATTTTGACGTTGAGTGAGTCTAATTTCCGCGGAATTTAATTTCTTTAGAATAACTCATAAAAAAATGATTTCGCATAGTTGCATTAAATAGGTATTTCTACGTTGGTGGGCTTGTTTAGTTTTGAAAATTTTCAATAATTAAATTTTCAATTTAATATCGACATTTCGACTAATATAAGGGGATATTAATACCTCGGTCAAACGAGAACAAAAGTTGCATGAGAGCTGGATTAATTTCATCAAAATTTGAACGGGCTCAAAATTTTTGAAATTGGATGAGAGAGCAAGACAGTCGATGACAGTTAGGGATGAGAGTTGCAACATTCTGGTTAGCCCTACATTCATTCATTAAAACTCAGTAATATCCAGGACCGGTAAGGGGTTTCAGTTATATTGGTATTTAGACCATTCACCATTTTACTTTTGGTATACAGTATTTATTGTTAAAATAGGTTGGAATACATACATGTACTGTATAAAGTATCTTACATTTAACCAGAATTTAGTACTCAGGCAGACAGACATAGTCTGGAAATGGAATTTAGGAATGCTGGTATATTGAGTCAGTATACTATCGAGTATATTGGTATTCTGGTAACCACCCTTGCTAAGAATAAATAACAAAAGAAATATATGGCAAAGGTGTGATGACTGTCTGTTTTTACACAGTATAAAATCGATGCCCCCACAATTGCTGTGAAGCGAGGAGCCATTGGGACATCGCACACCAGTCTGGTCCCACAACTGACCCTTAAATAGGAAATTATTGGAAAGCCGAGAATAGAGACGCCGCCATATTGCGTTGATATTTTGTAGCTCAATTTAATATGATGATGGACAAGTTCTTGTGCGCGTTCATTCAATTCGTCTGTCAACATATACCAAACCCAAGCGGAGGCAGTGGAATTTATCGGCTGGATGTTAAATGTTAATGCGTAGGGATAAAACGCGGATGCGGATAGTGTATGGACGGATATGTGGGGGAAGAAATAACAAATTAAGCCCGAAAATCCCCACTCCCCCCCACTCCCCTGCCCCCGTCAACGACAATTTTAGCTGAGGGAAAACTTTGGGATTAGTCGGGTAAATGTAACAAAGCATGGCAAATTTCGTTCTGCCTCCTCCCCTAACTTTTTCTCTCCCATACGCCCACGAACAACCAGTTATAAAGTCGCAACGTGTTTCCTTATCGAGGGTAACGTCATCGCCCAACAAAGTGTAGATATTCTTGTGGTAGATAACTACCAACCTCGTACTCAGAGCCATCATTGGATAACTACCGTCAACTCTACTCAAAGAAGCGATATTGGGACTTTGTATCACCCCTGACGAAGACACTAAACTGGAGTGTAAATTTGTTTGGGGATTACATTCATTTACACCAGAGTAACGAAACATGTCTGATATTATACCTGGTTTGTATGAAGACACTAGACTGGAGTATTGAAACGTTGGATCGTGTATTTGCAATTTGTTCGGGGACTTCATTCATTTACTTAAACGGACCAGAGTAATGAAACATGTCTGAACTGATAACACCTCGTCTGCATGAAGACACTAGACTGGAGTGTTGAAAGTCGGGTCGTAAATTTAATTTGCCGTTCGGGTATTACATTCAACCAGAGTAGCGAGCTAAAAAATGCGAGATTTTGAGTCGGAGTTTCGAAATGACCCAACGTTGACAATTTCATTACTAATCTATCAACAAGGGCTAATCGTGATCGTGAATGTAATATTATTTCATTAAATACTATCACGAGATCGCTTTGGACTTTGGTAAAGATAAAATTATGATAAGCCGGGAAATGTCATCAAATTATTGGGGTGAGACCGGATAGGTCATGGGGGATATAAGATTATTTTCGACATTTGTGGTATGTCGCATTACATTTCCAATGCGTTCATGTTGGCACTTCTCCTCCTCAATAACGTCTAACTACTGTAGGAACAATAATTTAAATTAGAGGACCAGTATTTAAACTTGGTTGTTATATTTACTCCCACTCCTATGGTGAACATTTACGTATTAAACTATATGGAAGCTACGATTATAGGAACTAAAAAAGGTGAAATATTTTGTGGGACACGATAAAGGCGAGGATATAGGAGCGAGAGATTGAAAATGAGTAGGAAAGGCAACCCTGTACGCGTTTCGACCTAACAGTTTTTTTACCATATTCGGCACATGAAACGTTCGACGTCTGAAACGGGCCTTGTCCAATTACCTATTTTACACCAAAAAATGTGGATAGCTCTATCAGTCTGAAACTGTTCTCCCTGTTCTCTATTATTCATTGTTAAACGTAAACTAAACTGAATTAATTTATACTGGATAGCAATATAAATTTCAAAGTCAAGTGGTGTTCAGTGTTACTACAAAAGGAAACCAGAAAAGCGTTTGGCAAAGTCAAAAGGCAGGAATTAAGCACTCATCTTACAGGCTTGAACTGGGTGGGATAAAATACATTTACGAATGCTTCATGGCGTGGGAATTAGCGTGGGTGAATGCTTCCTATGTCTGAAAATAGTAACTATTTACCTATGGCGGACGAGATATTCAGTAACCACAGAAATAAAATATTCAACGATTGTCTGTGGAACGCAATATACATTTCCCGACTTAACCTCGGTCAAAGTTGGCGTCGAGGTTTGATTGCTACAATGTGTTGTGTTGTTGGCACTGAATGTAATTTCGCCTCATTTGAATACGAGAAGAAAACTTCTCGTTTGACTCTACTACCCCGTTTTCCTCCTGAGGGTAAAACCGGATGAATACGGGATGACCCTAGGAGAACAGTTTAGCACTGACTGCATGATATAAAGCTATCCAGAATATTAAATAAAGATTATTTCGTTCATTTTTTCGGGCATTAACCGTCGAGTGTTATACGCTGTAATAAATACAAAGACAAAAGTTTCTTTAATTAAAGGGCAAAAGTACTTAAGACACTAAGGGTCTAAGTTTTAAAAAATTTACATAAATGTTCTGATAGATTTCTCCGATTTCACTTGTGAAAAGAGGCAAAAATGGCTATACCCATTTTAACAACGGTTGAGTTGTTTCTCAAACATCATTTGAACGCACATTCTGGTGACTGGACCGACCCTCTACCCACTAAACTTAACATACCGCAGAGAAATAGGATTGAGCGATATGCTTTAATTTGTTTCCTATTAAGTAATTGGTGTCAACATTTCCAACCATTTGCTGTCGACTAATACTGAAAGTACTCTCTTGAAGTGTTTCCAGCTCTGACGTTATAGGAAGAGTAATACTTCTGACGTATATTCGAGATAGCAGGGCAGTTTTTCTGTTATAAATCTGGCAATTTCACTAGAAACGCAAGCACAAGGGGGCATACGTAAAAAAACAAAGAAATGTAGTCGAGCGTGCCATGTGCGATGTACCCGCTCCAATTGAAACGTAATTCCGCCTCATTTTCGTACTCTCAGTCTCAGAGAAAGCCATACGTTTCTCGCTATGTTTATAAGTTTGAATATGAACCACGCTACAAGGCAGTACACTGGTCATTGTGGTCAATTGACTCAATTTGAAATACAGACACTGATAACATTTCATTTATTTCAGACTCAATTTCATTTAATAGCCACCAAATACAAGACCACTCACTACTACAACATTATTATGAAATCATTGTGTGTTTTTTTTCAACTGCTGATTGACCCCCTCTGATAGTTCTCAGTAAAACCCTATCGAATTGAAGAAAAAAATTGTTACATATGTCATATACATACAGCTATAGTGACACTATACGTAGTAAATACCGTAACTCGTATTAAGCTTCGAGCCTTCTTAGCTAGAGGCTAATTTGTTTACACTATTTTATGAGCCAGGCTTTTCTAGGTCTAAGAGTCCATTGTCAATTTTTGTGGGAATATAATACATATAATAGCCTAATAATCCTCTTTGAAACAGATAAATGCCGACAGATAAGACGAAACACTCGGTTTGTGTGTATAAATCATTAAATGTCAAAAACATTGAATAAATGGGTGAATGAATATTAATACCTTGAAACTACAAGTTTACATACCTTTGATTCCAATGCCTTCAGTAAATGTAAAGGCCACACAGGCGAGAGTAAAGTACAAGAGGATACGCATCATCTTTCTAATGAATCATTCACCTTTTAAATTTTGTTATTTTGACGTTCAAACTCAACCGCGTTTCGTGATGTTTCTTTATTCAAGTGTATCGTTCTGTTGCTACTTCTCAAGAACAAACAGCCCACGCCAAAATACGAGTGCCTCAAAATCAGTATACGTGCGTTTTGTTGTAACGCTTGAATTCAACTGCGTCACAAACTAGCGGACAGCCGGTTATACGTGCGCGCGCTGTTGACAAGTTTGTAAATCAGGAATGCGCGGATTTTACAAAGCTCGAATTTCAAACCTATTTTCCGGCTTCCGCTGTCAGAGTTCTAGTCACATTACACTGTCAAAATAAATCAACAGATAAGTAATGTTTTTATTTCGTACCGATGAGTTAACACCACTGATTAACGCATGCAACAACAGCATGGGCGCATGGCAGTGAAAAACATGGACTATATAGTGATGTATATCTGGATTCTGGACTCTTAGACATGTGTTACTGACTGAACCTCTCGAAATTGAAATACTGGATCTATCAGTTCCCAGAGGTTCATTAATAAGGGCCATCCTTTATATTGATATAGTATTACTACAGAAGGAAATCAAAATTAACACGGCCAGATAATCTATCAGTTCTAAACTATTTTCCCCAGAGTTCCAGTAAGTTCAGTAACTAGCAGTGTTACTAAAGGAGGAAACCTAAACTAAGTTTAACTAATGTTATTTATAGTAATACTGGATTACTGGATAGTGGATAGCTCTAGCTATCAGTTCTAAACTGTTTCCCATGCATGCAGTGCCACTAAACTCTAAAGGAGGAAACCTATTCTTTATTTATACCGGCTGGATAGTTCTATCAGTTCTAAACTGTTTTCCCTACAGGTCCAGTGAGAGCCATTCCTTATTGATCCAGTGTTACTAAATGAGGAAACCTAAACAAATTTTATTTATACTGGATAGATTTATCAGTTAATTGTTCTCCCTAGAGGTCCCGTAAGAATCACTTATACATTTATATTAGACCTACAACCATGAGGCTGAGCAGTTGCGAAAAATGCAACTATAGAGTATAGGCCCTATGGCTATGCCATAATATTTTTATTCTAGAGTCACATATTAAAAAACGGTTTCTGTATTTTTAAGTGACGTTTTTACGGATATTAATAAAACAAGAAAATACAATCACTACAGGGCTCACCAGTCAGAATACCATGCATGCCAGGATATATGGCAAAAATAGCATTGCTGGTGTGACCTTAAAAATCAAATAGAAATAAATTAGTGGAACAGTAGATTTGTTATATTTTCAAAGTCCTAATGAGAACTGAAAATAAGACTAAAAGGAAAAATCTTAAGGGGGGGCTGACACTCAAAAACACACCAAAAACACAAGCATTTGATTGGTTTTGCTATTTCCATTTCGCAACGGAGTAGAAACCAATTCACTACTAGGCGAAGAGAAATGTTTCGCAGAGAACCATTCCAAAATCATGTTGCGCATCTGGTTGCGCATGCGTTCAACCTTTTCGCGCGAAATTTTTTTGCATTTCACTCGTCGTGGAATTAGGCCTTTTAGTTCAGCCTCGAAGATTGTCCTTGACATTCATATGGCATATCAATTACTGAATTGTTGACCCAAAAGATCTACAGCGGGACACGAGTCACAACCTTGAGTAAACTTTTGGTTATTAACTAAGGTTAGTTATTACATAGCTTAAGATTTACGACGTCGACGTCAGCTAGGACGTGAGGGCTAAGCATAGGACTGGGACCAGGACGTCGTCCTAAATAAGTCGATAGCTCAAGTATCTACAACGTCAAATATTTAGGGCGGCAAGCGGAAGTAAATTGGTAACAGTTTTTGAAGTGTGCATGTGTCTCTCTCCAGTTTCTCGTCGTCCACCAAACGTTGACAACCTCACAACAAGTGTTTTACCGTCGTAAATATGAGAGCATAACAAACGGTAATAGTTCGCACGTCTCTTTTAAATTCATTTTCAAAAGGATGTAAATATTTATAGTTTAAATGTCTACGTCGTGAATCTTAAGTGGAAGTTTATATATTTAGGACGACGTCCTAGTCCCAGTCCTCTGCTTAGCCCTGACGTCGTAGCTCACGTCGACGTCGTAGATCTTAAGCTATCTCTCGAAGTACCCAGTCTCTGATTGAGTATTGAAAAATAATAATGCCCACTGATCTATATATGTACTCATAATGTATAATTTATAGCCAGAGCTGCCAATCCTTACCTGTGAATCTCCAGGTTTTGGTCTGAACTCCGAGTCCCACGGGTGGACTTACAAATCGAGTAACAAATCTCATGGTATTTCAGGAAAATAATTTTTATTGATCAAATTTTTTTTTCGATCTATGGACTATAATCGCACGTTTTGTATTCTTTCTAATTCTTTCAAATCCGACGAGAATTTAGTTGGGGAGCGGCGGTAGAAGCTAGGTCTAGAAAACAAGTATGTGGCAACACAAATTTTCGGACACAAACAGCGTTCATTTTGGTCTTTTTGTCTTTACCTTTGTACTAACTTTAGATTTAGTTAAACAGTTCCGCTTACAATCATACCTTTTCACTCCAGAAGTCTATCACTCTATCAGTATCATTTTGCAATGCATGATATAAATGATAATAAATCTTATCTTTGACTTTATGCTGTATTTAATATGCCGTATACAAAATAAACTGCAACAGGCGACGGACAGTCGGAATTAATTTTTTTCCTACAACCAATCACTTGTAAGAAAACAGCCGTAAACAACCTAATTAGAACAAAATCTTTGTATTGCTTGTAAACTTGAATCATGTATTGGAAAGTTAACTCAATTTTCAAGCCAGTAAAATGGTAAAATCACTGCAAATTGCACTTGTTGTCGGCTTGTCGCACCAAAGTTGCAGTCAAAATCGCAGAGTGTTTACATTGACATTTAAAAAAAAAACAGGCCGCAGAAACCAATCAGATGCGCTTGATATATCCGATGAAGCCCTGGATTAACCAATCAGATGCGATGCGTAGTGAGCCAGCAAGAGGTTCGAACTCCAAATATATTCCCACCTGTTAATTTTGCAAACATGCATTTATAATTTGTTTGATGTTTGTTTCATATTTACAATGCGAAATGCCGATGCAAAACGATTGTTTTTTTATTGTTTAGAAATGAAGAACCGTTTATGCAAGAAATAAAGGAAACGTTTATAAGGTAACTATTCATAGTATATTTTTAAAATATTGACATTGTATTGTATAAATAATACTTATAATAGCCTCTGTATTCGCAAATGTAGTGGATAGTGGATTAAATTTATTATTCATTAATTCGGCGTTAAATTTATTATTCATTAGGGACAATAGTATGCTTTTAAAACAACTCTGAAAGAATCAAGATTACTATATTATGTTATGTTATGAATTGCCAAATATAATTGCAAAATAGGGTATTTTTTACGGTAGCCCACAAGTGTAGTACACAAAACAAAATTCCACTACACAAAACAAAATTTCACTGCACAAAACAAAATTTTAATACAGCAGGTACATACTTTTAGGTTATTAATACTTGTCACAGATGATATTAGCTAATTAGCATAGGTAATAGTATGGTTTCTCGTGCAATTTGGGAAAACCATGACAAGTGAGTTTTTCAAAGATGATCAAAATTGCCCACTACACACGTAAAAACGCACAAGTTGTAACAAGTCTGCAAACAAGTTGTTACAAGTCTGTTCTCAAGCTGTCAACAAGTTGTCTTCGCACTGTTTGTTCCCAGTTTGTTGTAACAAAGTTTGAAAGAAGCTGTTATTAAACAACTTGCATGTAACAAGCTTGATGGCATTGTCAGCCTTGTTACAAGACTGTGCTAATAAGTTTGTTACAGCCATGATATAACAAAGATGTTACAAGGTTGTAACAATCTTGTTATATCAAGCATGCATGTAACGGACTGGTTAGAACAACCTTGCAACAAGTCTGATAATTTCGACAAAGTTGTCAACAAGTTGTTCCAAATCTGTTGACAACTTGTGACATGTATACAAGCAGTGCGGATACATCTTGTTGACTGACAGTTGACGGCTTGTTGGCAGCCTAATTTGTTACAAGATGTGAGATTTTTACGTGTTTAGTCCGAAGGACGAGTGCAATTTGAAGTCTTCAAAAACTCATG